AGTGCTCAGTGTGGCGCTGTTCGCTGTGGCGATCAATGACATTGGCGACAAACTCGCACCATCTATCGGCAAATCACTATTTGTCGATGATTTCGCGATCTGGTTTTCAGCTACGACCGCCCGTCACGTTGCCAGACAGTTGCAGCTCGCTGTAACCCGTCTGGAGAGGTGGAGCGACGACAATGGCCTTCGTTTTTCAACAACGAAGACCGTCGCTATGCACTTTTGCCGCCGCCGCTGTGACGACTTAGCCTTGGGAATCAAGCTCCATGGACAGGTGATTCCTACTCGGCCGGTGGCGAAGTTTCTTGGAATCTTTTTTGACAGTCGTTTGACGTATAGAGAACATTTTAGAACGCTTCGGGAACGATGTTTTAAATCCCTGAACGTTTTAAAATGTGTCGCCCGCACATCTTATGGTGCAGACCGCAGGACGCTCCTTCTTTATATCGGTCGATCGTCCGATCGAAACTGGATTACGCATGCTTTGTTTACGACTCTGCCAGCGAATCCAGTAAAAAGGCTCTTGACTCCGTGCACCACGCGGCGCTACGTGTTGCCACAGGTGCATTCCGCACGTCGCCCAAGAGCAGCCTCCTCGCCGAGGCACACGAACCGCCACTATCTCTCCGCCGTCAGATGCTGGGGATGAGGTACGCACTGAAACTCCGCCAGTTCCCAGGACATCCGACGTATCCGTACGTCTTTTCTCCTGATTTTAATCGTCTTGACAGAGTGCGACAATCGGTCTCCTTCGGATTGCGCATAAAAGAGCTCTTTTCTACAGTTCACATAGAGTTCCGTGAAGTGCGACGTACGTGGGGTACGCCCTCTCCGCCATGGAAATACGCTCCAGCGCAAGTAGACCTCACGCTCTCTGAGGTCAAGAAGGACGACCTGCCGCCATGTGTGCAACGAGCACGGGCATTGGAACACATTGCGTCATACGACGGTTTTATCTCGGTGTTTACAGACGGCTCGAAAACGAAGGACGGCGTCGGCTGCGCTTTCGTGGCTGGTCGCGACACGCGCACTTTTTCATTGCCTTCCTCTGCCTCCGTTTTCTCATCCGAGGTCGTTGCAATCGAGAAGGCGTTGTGTTTTATCGAGGTGTCTGACAACTTGTCTTACCTCATTTTATCGGATTCTCTCAGCAGCCTGCTGGCTATACGGAGGTTTAACCCAGACGATCCGATAGTCCAAGACATTTTATCTCGGCTCACGTCGGTGGAGCAGTCAGGCAAAACTATCAAGTTTTGCTGGATTCCAAGCCATGTGGGTATAACTGGCAATGAGCTCGCCGACGCGGCCGCGAGACGCGCGGCCGCGGCTCCATGCCTTCGGCGTTTGCCCCTGCCGGCTCGTGATTTTTACTCAGCCATCCAAACCTTCACGATGTCAAGCTGGCAGGCAGAGTGGCATCTCCAAGGATCTGGGAAGCTGCGGAGCGTAAAGCCTACCTTGGAGCCCTGGCAGTCTTGCTTCCAAAGCAACAGGCACCAGGAAGTGGCCCTCTGCAGATTGCGTATTGGTCATACGTACGCGACTCATGGCTATCTCCTCCGTGGAGAGGAACAACCCACATGCAGTCGGTGTGCCGTGCCTCTCACTGTCTCTCACGTGCTTTTATCTTGTCCTCTCGCTGAACCGAACCGGACACGCTATCTCGGGCGCATTGCTCCTGTAACCACTATCCGCCACCTTCTGGGTGATGACTCACCCTGGGTTTTATCCGGCAACATTTTTTCCTTTATCCGTTCGATCAACTTCCAAGTGATCTACTCGACCTGACATGAAATCCAACTAGTCCTCTCTAGTCCTTACATCTAGTCAGTTGTCTAGGACGACACTCTTGCGCTGCTTTATCTTACCTTGCTCTTTTATATCGAGTCTTTTACTTTTTAGTCTTCGTATCTAGAAGGTTCTCTCTTTTGACACACTTGTTTTATTAAAGGACGCCATTTAATTGCGTCCCAGAAAAGCTATTTCTGGCACCTAAAAGCTGACTCGCCCCAAAATTGGTCCTCAGCACCTATTTGGTGGATACCAGCACCAATCATGGAAAATGACCTTAATTAGCTGTTTCTGGCACCTATTCATCGGTACGCCTTACTCTTTTTTCTGAATATGGCACCTAAATGCTGAGCGTAGCACCAATCTAGTAGAAAAATGAACTACTGGCTGGTAGAATCATGTTGTTCTGGTATAATGACCCCTGGAGTCTAGTCTAAAGGTTGCCAGTGCAGCTACACTCTAAGACAGCCCCGTAGTGATCTCAGCATTGTATATGACGTTTAAGTAAGCAAATAATATTGATTTGTTTGAAAAAAAACAATGTCATTTAAATATCTAAAAGCATTTATTTGTAATGCTTAAAGGGAAACATTTTTGTGAGTAATTGTCTCGATTTTGACCATTAAAACGGGTATTGTATTTTTTGACGTCATCAAATAGCTCCAAAAAAGAAATGTAATGTTTTCATTCCGTTCAAGGCCGCTGAAGAAACGCGGGATCTTGCGTGGGACATTGTCCGTTGTTTGCCGCGCAGAGTTGTGCCGTGGTTGTGCCTTTTTCATCCGTTTCTTACTTATGTCATTTGTGTGCATGAAGCTTTGATTTTGTTTTTGGTTATTGTGTGGCCGGTCAGTCAAACGCCCCTGTAGAAACCGGATGCTGCGTTTGATCGAGATGGAGTCAGACGATGATTGCAGAAAGCTAATAATATTGAAAAGAGGGCCGGTTGCGTGGCATGTCTGTTCAGAGTTTACATTTTGCTTTACTCCAGTTTATGACCTGAGAGCCTGGCTGGAAGTGACGGATCCAAACTTTTCACGTTAAAATGGCTGAGGGTGCAATAATCTCTAGTCTCTACATAGCGGGCTGGTATAGGAGCGTCTTGCTATGCTGCACCATAGCTGGCTAGTGATTCTCTTTTGGCTAGAAATGGCATTAATCATTATCTCCACTGGCGAAAATGGCACTTGACATCACCGAATGCAACGTTCATGTTGTTAGGATACATAAAATCAGGAAGATTACGCGAATTAGGTAGGCAAACGTGGAATAAAATAGATGCTGGATGTTTTGGTTTTGGTGCTGAATCAGCAAACAGCAAATACGGAGTTCAACTAGACGATCTGGCAACTTTAGGCTGTGTGGAAGCAATTAGGTGCCAGATTCAGATATTAGGGTCGAATAAGCATTTTGGGGCTGATCAGCAATTAGGTGCCAGAAACAGCTTTTTAGGGACCAGAAACAAATATTCCCCTTTATTAAAACCACGTTATGGGCGCAAAATGACCTAAGTAGTCGGCGCGCCCTAAAGCCCCAATTAACAAACAAACGATTTTCAGGTCAGGGTCAGGTCATCACAGGTCACGAAAATATTATATCATGCGTCGGTCACGTGACACATGTTTTATGGTCCATTTAGGCCATAGATTTCGAATTTGATGTCGTCTGTGTCATTCGAGGTCATTTTGAGTCGAATTTAGCTTAGGTCAGGTCACTTTCAGGTCAAAAAGGTCAAATTTTGAAGTTAAAATTTTTCAACAAAAAAGGTGTCTATTGGATGCAGTTTGAGCTCAGGAACACGATGGTGCCATTTATATTGGTGTACGATGTCAAATACGTGCTGAAAAATTAATTTGAAAAATTAATAATTGTGAATTTTTTTGCAATAATGCGTATAACTTGGCCATTTTTGAAGATATTTAGCTAAAACTTGCTAGAGCTAGTCATAATCATGCATTCTGTCACATATATTCCGGTTTTTTCGAAAAGTCAAAAACTTTTTGAAAAAAATATAAAAATATAAATTTTGAATATTATTATATACAATTTTCGAAATTTTCAAAATTTTGAAAATCCGAGATAGCAGTTTGATAGCGCGGTCAATTCTGAGACCTTTCATGCAAAGAAATTGGATCTAGCTTAAAAACTGAGCTCTTGGGAGCGATTGCCGTGGTTCAATGTTTTGCGTCGAAATCGGACGAACATGACGTCACTCTGACGTCATTTCCGGCCGACCTATGGTAGCTACGAAGTTTAAATTTTGACACAAGGTGTCAAATTGATGCAGCCGAAGGTACTGAAAGTTAGGCGTCGATCCGTCAAGCGGTTTGGAAGTTATTGCAGAAAAACGGGAGGGGGGGGGCTATAAATAGCCCCCCCCCCAGTGGGGCGCGGGTTAATCAAATGGCGAGTGTGTACAGGCCTAATGGTCAGGTTATGCTAATGCTAATGTAATGTTAATGTATCTAATGTGTAGGCGTATTCATTGTCTGGTGAACTATTTTCTTATTCAATGGCAATGAATTTTGCTGCTATGGTGGTATATTTTTATTCAACAATGGAGTCCTACATTTTGCATTCTCGCCTTTCGTTGTGCCCACGTATATTTCATCACGAAGCAAGATAAAATTATTGCCTTCATCAACTGTCAACTACTCGTGATTCCGAGACAAGCCTATACCAGCTTTATATGAATCAATTGTTTCCCGACTAATGCCTCATTGATTGTTCCATTTCCGACGCGAGAAGAAGCACTTCCTTTTGGAAGTGACGTGTAAGACCTTCACCGTGCGTCCGTCCACAACACGAGTATGCACACACACAAGTCCCCTGTTCCGCTCGGCTGAAGGACCGCCTCTAGTGTTGACCGGCCAGCCTCCCTTCGGCGCGCGGCCACAACACAGCCCAAATGGCACCGCCGCTAATGCGCCGCGCACTTAGGGTAAGGAGGTGGCCTTTGTTATTTTTGGTTCCTTGGTACGCCGCCGGGAGGCTGGGTCGGAAGGTGAACCGCCCACCGCTGAGCTGTTTTTGTTTCAGGCTTAGAAATGTCACCGGGCAAGTAATTACCAGAAGTGCGCAGTCACGAAACTGAACGAGGCGATCTGGGCGGAAATGGCTACTGTTTTTTTTTTTTGCCTTTACCTGAGTGAGCTCCGGTAACGTAGTGCAAGAGACCAAGGTGCATGAGCGTTGTAGGCACTTACTGTTGCATCTCTGAAGACACTGATCCCCACAGCTTGAAATCCCCTTCAACAGAAGGTTCTCTGAAAAAAATTGACTTCAGTCAAAAACATACAACATGCTGATATACAATTTTAGCCACCATAGCGTTAGCAGGCCGTTGGTCGTATGTTATGGTAAAGGGCTGCGGGTTGCACGCTCCCACAGACTTCTTGTTGGTACCGTTCAGGCGTTCAGCTTCAAAATCAGGTGATTTTGTGTTTATTAAGCGCTGCCTTCACTGAAATGTGCACGTCGTGCACAGCAGTGTCTGAGTTTTCCCGCTGCTTGTCTCGGGAATGCGGCTGGCGCTCGTCCTGTGACATGTCACTGGCCGTCTTGTCTCTCGATGGTGAGTGATGAGACAGGGATACTGTCTATAAACATTACTGCATCGCATCACGGTCGATGGATAAGTCCTAGCATGTAACACGCACGTCAAGACGCTGTGTTTCTCTCAGCTTAGATGTTAAGAGCTAACTGATCAGTTGTCCTAACCAAACGCTAGCGGGAGAAGACTGCCTTATGATCCAAATGGCTCACAAAAGCCGTTTGGTTCAAATTGAAAGTCCGAATTGTATGTTATGGCTTACAAGATCTCTATGGCTCAGGCGGCTGTTTAGATAGTCATGGTAACAAAACAAGGATTCGAGATCGAGGTACGTAGTTACTATTTATTACACTGATTGGCCCATGGACCATAAAATTGGATGTGAGTAGCTCAACACGCATGCGTGGTTTATCTGTTACGAGTAGCTGTTTGGAAATATGGAATGATAATGTGATACAGGCTCTTTTGTGTTAGATATAATTGGTGCAACCGGTGAATTAGGTATTTCTGAGAAAAAGAAGAAAAAAACATTGTCCCCGTCCGGCACGTCAACACTGTTTCCTTCTGAGCTGACCCAAAAGCATCTGCCGGGCATGCAAAAATATTCATAGTCCCACGGCGAATCGCGGCCCTATATCGCAGTGAAAATTACGCTGACCTCGCGGCTGGCACCCAGCTGGCACTGGCCCCATACCTAGCCACTGTGCCGTGAACCGATACCGAGCACATGGCCTTCGGTATCGTGCCCCTCCGGCGGAGTCAGAGGTCAGGGAGACACTCTGAGGGGGCGGTCAGCATCCCTCCCCGGCGCGGTCAGGTCAGGGGGAGTCACCCCTCCGGCGGGGTCAGAGGTCAGGGGGAGTCGCCCCTCCGGCGGGGCCAGAGGTCAGATGGAGTCACCCCTCCGGCGGGGTCAGTGTCCGGGGTACTCACTCTGAGGAGGGCCGCCGTCCGCTGGTCAGCCGGGCCAGCAGCGGGCCAGCGGCGGCGGCCAGCAGCAGCAGCAGTGCCCCGGTCAGCGCACAGCCCAGCCAGTAGGCGCCGACACCCCCCAGCAGCTGGTGGCACGCCGTCGAGGCCGACGACCTGCAGCGAGACGGGCACCGTTCAGCTGACCATAATGCGATAAAAATATTACTTTGCACTCGCATAGTACCGAACAAGAAAAACAATTGTTGTTTAAGATTCAACGATTTGATAGGCAGTGACTTGATTTTTTACATTTTTTATAATGCGTTTTCTTTTAGTTTGTGCTAAACAGTAGAACTTGTGTTATTTTACGAAGTTATATGTATGAGAATTGGCGATCGGAATTTAAAGTTGCATGTGTATTGTATCGAAGAGAGGACACTGTTCGTTGGACATCGAGGTGCATTAAAATTTGTTTTAGCCAAACACCTACCTGAATACCGGTAGAATACCGTCAAAGCACCAGCGGCGGTCTGCTAAGCTCACTGTGTGGCTCGCTTACCATAATAATGCCTCAGCCTGGCGCCAGCAGTGAACAATCCTACCACTTGAAGCACAGCCACACCACGCAGCAATGCCCTCACCTGAAGGTCACCCAAACCGGGCAGGAATCCCCCCACGTAAAGGCCAGCCACATGGGACAGGAATCCTCTCACCTAAAGGCCAGCCACACGAGGCAGGAATCCTCTCACCTGAAGGCCAGCCACACGGGGAGGCAGCTGGTGTCGCGGCGTAGTACCGTCTGCACATGATTGGAGAACTGCTCGAGACGGCCTCTTATCTGGCGGCGGAAATTGGACTCTTCCTGGAACGAATGTAGGTGCGGTGTGACAGAGCTTCCTTCCGGCTCTCCTTACCACGCCAAGAAGCGTGCTGGGAACGGCCTGTACGTAAAAGGTACTGGCAAAGACATGAGTCGTAGTGATTTTACCGTCTCACCAAATCAGCATCCTCGTGGAGAATTTCATGACGGATATTACGTATGTACATTCATCACTGCACTGGATGAATCGAACCAAACCACCAGCATTCGGAGCTCATACGGAGCACACCTGTGATCTGGGCACCGTGTCTTTGGATAACTGCAAATCTTCCAATACAGAATACAGCTTAAAGCCTGAATCTAAAGCGCAGTCATTTCTGTCATCGAAACGTTCTATTAAAACCTGCGAATTATGCATGCTCACATTAATGATGCTCACCGGCGATTGCTGAACATAAGAAAGTACTGATAGGTTTACCTAGCTAACCCAATTGGAAGCGTCACAATTTCAGAAACATCTAAAATGCTTCACAATTTGCATCGAGGCATTTAGCATACATCTACGGTACCGGCTGTTAAGTCATTTGGCCACCATTGTTGACACGGAAGGGACAGCCGGTTGATGCAACACTCTCAGAGTTTTCCCACTGCCCTCGTTGATTTTTTTTTTTTGCGTTGAACCCAAGTGGTTCGCAGGGCTTGATACGAGAAAATGTACGGCTATGCAAGTTGCAACAAATACCTTTCTTCACTGCTCACCTGCTGTATGACGTGGCTGGCGTTGTTGCTGAGGAAGCTGTCCACCTGGGCGATCTGGCCTCTGAGACTGGTGACCTGACCTCTGAGCGCCATGGCCGACATGTCCAGAGTGGCCACCTGAACGACCAGTCGAGCCTGGCGGCAGCGCGGCCACCCGTCGTCTCTTAGCCACGCGTCGATACCATCGAACATAGGTATCATCACGCGTGTTAGAAATTATTATCCCCTCTTTCTATGTCTCTCTTCTCTCTCTCTCTCTCTCTCTCTCTCTCTCTCTCTCTCTCTCTCTCTCTCTCTCTCTCTCTCTCTCTCTCTCTCTCTCTCTCTCTCTCTCTCTCTCTCTCTCTCTCTCTCTCTCTCTCTCTCTCTCTCTCTCTCTCTCTCTCTCTCTCTCTCTCTCTCTCTCTCTCCTTCTCTCTCTCTCCTTCTCTCTCTCTCTCTCTCTCTCTCTCTCTCTCTCTCTCTCTCTCTCTCTCTCTCTCTCTCTCTCTCTCTCTCTCTCTCTCTCTCTCTCTCCTCCCTACCTTTTCCCTATGTTGTATCCATGGCGACACAAAAGCATATTCATTTCCTCTTACCGATCGACCACCGTTTGTCTACACACAGAGACAGAGGCTTACCTTCTGTTTCTGCAGTGTATACAGAGCTCCGGTGACGATCTCGGTCAGCCGGTCAGCCAGGGCGCTGAGCCGATCCCTGTCCGTCTCCGAGCTGAGCTGACTCAGTGCTGAGCTCAGCCGTGTCAGCACCCCGGCGACGTCCGAGGACGCCGAGCGGCGCTCCAGCTGCCGCCAATGAGTGGGCGACGCGGTGGGTCAGAGTGGTGACCACCGGGAGGACGTGACAGACTGACCACTCACGAACGCACCGGGCCAAGTTCTGAACACGCGATATGGATGCCAGCGGCTGAAGCGAGGAGATTGCACGGCGTCCGACGGAAAATGTTTGCACTTCACATAATTTTGTGAATTTTCTGGCGTGGTTCATTACTTCGTAGTTCACGAATCAGATCTGATTGATTATTGCCCACCGGAGATCCGTGAGAGATAAAGCTCTCCGCATAAGAGTGGGGCGCCATAAAGGCTATTAAGCAATTTGGATCAAATATTTATCCTCCACCATGTCCGTGTAATCTCTTCAAGCGAAGTTCTACTCGTGTAGAAACAATATGCAATAAAGGATGGTAATGGTGGCATGAACCATGCTGTCAAAGCCTTTCCTGGATGATTGAGTAAAGAAGTGATAAAAAGTTAGATTCCATGGTCTGCAGCATTACTTGCGCCAGTTTGACTGCCTTTCAGACTTGCTGCTACGTAGACAGACAATTCAGATCAGTATGTGACTCCATGCACCCATTCCAGAGCTTCCAGCGCATTTTATGAGATAGTCTGTGTTGAAAGACATTGAACCCATGTCCTGACGTCAGGGGATAGCTGGTGCCAAGCGTATTAGAGACAGTCGGTTCTGCGACTCTGACGGATTGGGGAGACGGTCGTCTAGAAACGAGTAACTGACACGCCCTAGGCGGACATACAGCGCGCGAGACAAGCGTCCAAAGTAACTGCAATTTGTCACATGTAGATTTGTGATCACCTCTGAAGGCTCGTCCAGTACGGGCATGGTGCTCTTACAGACGGTGAAGCTAAAAGCCGAACTTCTGAAGTTGTAAGTTACAGAGCAATAACTAAAAACTGGCAAAGCTATCATTGTTCTGTATTGGCTGAAATATCTCCAAATTCCACTATCATAACTGCCGTCTGCTTTACGGCGTCTTTTGTGACGAGGTCTGAGAAAGGAACCTCGTCTAATGTCAGCTTTTCAGTTCACCGTCTTGTATATGCACTCTTTATACAGAATGTCCCACTCAGCTGTGGACCCGCATCCTGCTCCGCGCGGGGCGGGGTCGTGAAATTTATCGGTTATCCACATCACAAAGTACCCAGTTCATGGAGAGGACTGCCAAACCGTCAACTGTACCCTTCTCTGTCGGACCGTGCAGGCTTTGAAGCTCGAATAGTATTGGTTTTTATTGCGCTTGTCGGGTGTCGGGTTTATTTTTATGGGCTCTCTAAATTAATTATGTTGTGGTGGTTGTCTAAATTGCTTTTTATTGTCAATTTAGCTTATCTACTTTGATTATTCCTTCATTGATGTGTTTCGTTCCCACTTCTACTTCTAGGTAAATCATAACTAAAAAGAAACCTTGGCCCATAAATACAGGTAGGTATACATAATTTAGGTAATGTTGGAAGAATTGAAGCTTTGGCTGTGAGCTTCTACGCATGATTCAATATCTCCAACAGTTTATTGGAAATTATGTATGCGGTAACAGGCATTGCTAAATAGGCTTAGCAAATTCGATCCCATCATCAGTGTTACAGGAGTCGGTGTAAAAAATCATTGAGTGGTTTTGTGAGAACTGAGACTTATTTGAAAACAATATTGTTCCCCCCCCCCCCCCACACACACACAACTTAGGCATCCTTACACATGGATCATCAGTGCAGAGTTGCGTATTTCACCTTCTCCTTGACGGGGCCGAGGTCGGTGTGGACCAGCTCGGCCGCCAGCCGGAGGTACTGGTTCAGACTGGTGGCCAGCAGGTCTGTCCGTCCGTCCGCCGGCGCTCGGCTCACCACCCGGTCCAGCAGGGAGTGAAGGCGAGGGGCGTCGAGCTGACCGGCGGCATTCACCGCGGCGGGGCGGTCCAGGTTAAACACGGTCAGCAGACTGCCGCCGGCCCGGCACTGCCTGGAACACGGACCGACACCGCGTGAGGCACGGACAGGACTGTCTGAAACACGGACAGGACTGTCTGAAACACTGCCTGACGCTGCCTGAAACACGGACCGGCACTGTCTGAAATACCTACGAGCAGCACTGCCTGAAATACGGACCGGCACTGCGTGAGGCACGGACAGGACTGCCTGAAACACGGACAGGACTGCCTGAAACTGCGGCAGTGCTGTACGAGCAGCACTGCCTGAAATACGAACTGACGTCTGACATCGCCTGAAATACGAACTGACACTGTCTGAAACACGGACCGACACTGTCTGAAATACGGCGCAGGACTGCCTGAAACACGGCACGTGATTGTATGAACCACAATACGGGAGTTGTCTGAAATAACGACGCGCAGGGCTGTCGTAAACGCGATACTGTCTATCGTAAAGCCACGTGACACGGGACCTGTCTGAAATAACGGCAACATGAGAGACTGTCTGAGGTCTGAACAACACAGGATTTGTCTGAAACACCGCACACGCTGTTTGAAACGCGAAGTGAGAGATGAAGGAAGCAACTATAAGGCCAACTTTGAGCTTGAAACGGAGCACGATTGTTCGAAAGCTGATTTGGGGTACCTATGTCTGAAGCGAAAGGAATGTGTTCGGATTTGGAGGCTTGTAAACAATGTGATAAATTCATTCTGAGGCTGACTAAGCGGTGTCATCGATGTAGACGTCAGGTAGGTACCTAACATTCTGATATTGTCCTTACTCCTGCGTAACCATGTGTAATTTACTTCACTGCAACTCTGTTAAAAGTTCATCGTATCCCGTTGTTGAATGTTTCTGGTAAGAAAAGACACCAGCTTTTCCCTTCGAAGCAGCGTCGCTTTTCGCATTTCAATGAAACTGAGCGTAATGTAGGGTGAATAGGTCAAAAACGCCCCCATTAAGCGCGAAACCTTCTGACACTCAACCCAACACAGATCACTCAAACCTTTGGGCACCATCATGTAGCTCATTCTTTTTACTACGCTTTGAGACCAAGAAAAGACACCTGCGTGTGGTATTTAACCCCCCAAAAAGGTTTTCGCATACCCTTACAAAAGGGCGTTTTGCCCCATACCCTGGGTAATACGCCCACACCCATGTGCAAAGCGCCCCCACCCCATCCATCAACAGAAAATGATAAACATGGCAGAACTTGACGTCATTCTGACGTCATTTGTGGTCAACCTATCATAGCCTTTGGAATAAAATTGTGTTGCAATGTGTAAAATGGATGCCCGGAGGAGTCCTGAAAGTTTGGTGACGATATCTGCAGTCGTTTAGGATATATCAGCAAAAAAGGACAGGGAGAGGCCTTTTCGGCACCCACCTACAGGGCGCTACCCTGCACTCTCACCACCGTGCAAAACGCCCCCCTTTCAGAAAACTGGGGGCGTCTTGCCCCATGCATCGAGTAGGCGTCTTTCCCCATCCACTCCATTTCCGGTCAACAAAATATTGACAAAAAACGCGCCACTAACGCCGCAGCATGATAAATTCAACAGAATGGCAATAAAACGCAGTTTTTAGTGATGTGCACAATAGCAAGTTTTGTGATATAAAGAGGGCATCAAAATCTTAGGAATCTTCTGTAAAAACAACAAAAACAACACCCAAAACCAACATCAGCACCTACCCACGCTGCTCCTCAAGACGCAGAACCGGAAATAGAGACCTACGTAAACAAGCAGCTGACTGTTCTGAAAGACAGGATAAAACACCTATCCGTCGATAAGAAATACGATTTTTTTAGGGGAGGCGTTTAACCCAGGGGTGCGTTTTCCCCACAGTTACCCTAATTACATACCTACCCAGCCCCACAACTGGTAGCTCGTGGGAATTTTTATCACTGACATCCCGCGTCGACTGCCGAGGCCCTAATTAGTCGCCGAGGAATGCGACCGGCTCCGACTGAATTTCACATCGAGGCCGTTATTAATCCTCAACAGAACCATTTCACGGAACAGTTTTATTAGCAACATTACCGGTAGAATTATGAACTAAAAGTGTGTCTCGAATATGGTTGGTCCACTTTTATTCAATTATTTATGCTACACCTGCAATTGTTGCCAAGTATGTCAACAAAATACTTTAGAGTACTTTAGAATCAAATTGAAACGCAAAGTTGAGCTATCTGGTAAAAACGAAATTCGTTCGGTAGGGCTGAGCAGAATCTTTACGAGCACCAACTACCTACCAAGCTAGATCGCATGAATAAACACAGACAGACTTAACACACATTCGAGTTGCGGCATTGGATCTGGATTTGATGTTGCCGTTTTCTCTAGAAAGTAGCTGGACGTTTAAAATGTTACAATAGTCATTTTTATTAACCATTCAAGTTTCAACTATGTATACGGCATTTCGGCTTCATTATTTAAAACAAACTTAGTAGCACGTTCTTCCGGCTGCTACATAGCGAGATAGCGAATTGGATCGCCTTGACAAACAATACAATACAGTAAAAGTGTAGTCCCGACACTTGTACCTAGCCGGTCACTCACTCCGTGCGCTCCCGACCACCCGTGGCCCTGGCCTCACCTCAGGGTGTCCGCCAGTGATTGCTGCACCGGGCCCGGAGTGGCCGGCAGCAGGGCCGCCCTCAGCCCCATCCGGTGGGTGACCTGGGCCACTTCAGCAGGTCGGTCGTCCGCCGGACGGGGGCAAAGGCCGGCCTGTAGGAGACCCGCCACCAGCGCGCCGACTGCCGCCACTAACCAGACCAGAGCGGAGGTCACCGTGAGCAGAAACAGCGCCCTGAGGAGAACACACAGAACGCCGGCTGTGAGCATGCTTCCACCGGCGACCTCTATCGGTGGCCTGGGACATTGTGCTACCTAGCATCGTGATAACAGGCTTACGTCGCACTTGCAAACTTAATTTTGTCTAGGCCTTGTTACCGATTGAAAAGGTGTTGCATTTTATGAAAAAAGTCAATGGAACGTATGACGTATGTACGCTTGCCCTTGCGTACACCTGAAAGCCGATAGTCTCCCGTTGGGATCAAGTTACCAAAGCTCCTTTGGTCTGCGGCTGATGTTGCGGCGACTCGTCTCGGTTCACCCACATGCGAATGGTGTTGGCGGTGTGCCGATGGGGTCTCGAGGAGCTCCGACTGGGGAAGTACGAGCCGACCACGGCCCCGTACAGCAGCGCCGTCACCGTGAGCACCAGACACGGAACGGCTGCGGGCGGAGAGGAGACTACTGTCAGTAGCAGACAGGACGTAGCTGTCACTTGTCAGTACCAGACTGAACAGCTGTCAACACCAGACACGGAACCTGGGAGGAGAGGAGACTACTGTCAGCGCCAGATAGAACAACTGTCAACACCAGACGCGGAACCGCTGCGGGCGGAGAGGAGTGACAGACAGGGAACCGCTGTGGAGGACAACCGTCAACACCAGACACGGAACCGCTGTGGAAAGGGTGGCTATCAGCTGTGGAGGACAATTGCCATCACCAGACAGGGAACGGTTGTGAACGAAGAGGACAATTCTCAGCACCAGACAGGACAACTGGCAGTAACAGACAGGAAACCACCGTGGAGGATAATTAATTGTCAGTTCTAGACAGGGAACAGCTGAGAATCAAACTGCATCAGTAGAAGACAGGACGGATGTCAGCACTACACATTTTGCTCTACAAGACATGATCAATGTCGTCATAATTATATCCTTTCTCATTATCCAGCCGTCTGGGTATGGGTCAGACAAGCAGTATTTTCACCTAAAAAATATGGCATTTTAACGATGAACGCTCCCCATGTTTCCGACGCTTACCATGGTCGTCAGACCTCGCCTTGCCTTCATTACCTGGAACTCGACTCAGTAGAGTATACCCAGGAGTGCTTTTAGCAACTTGGCTGCAAAGTTTCATAAAAGTCCGCTTGAGCGCTCGCCCAGCGTTTCCTATGGGTGTTCGGAACTTTTCAGTGAAGAGACGCTTAAGTCGCATGACAAACATGACTCCAACGTGAATCGAGAAAAGCACTCGTTATATGGTTCTAGCTAGTCGAAGCTGGGAGCCAGCTAGCAATGAAAGTGGACAGAAAATAAGGTCAGTTCTGTCGATAGATTTAAAGGAGTCTCAAATTCAAAGTGAAACTTTGTTTTCAAATAGATTATAGGTATGTGTTTATCCTAGCCGGACTATTTGTTGTCGTCGATATTCTAAGTCCACTGACGCTACACTGATGTGCCAAGTTCGTGCAACGGTTATATGAAACGCTGCAATTTAGAGAATCAGTTATCGGATGGTGAATTTTACGATTAATTACAGCTATGCTAGCCATAAGGTTAATAAACATAAGATCATAAAATAGTTACATAAGGATCATATTTCTTCAGATTACTAGTGGTGGCTCGGGAAACCTCAAACGGGACGAAGCGCAGAGCTCCTGCCAGTTCCATGGTTCATGCGTTCTGAGAACAGAAGCCACTCTCCAGACTATCAGTAAATGGTTTGTTAGCATTTTTGTTCACTCATATTCTACATCAATAGGGGAGGGGAGGAAGGGGAGAGAGAGAGAGAGAGAGAGGAGAGAGAGAGAGAGAGAGAGAGAGAGAGAGAGAGAGAGAGAGAGAGAGAGAGAGAGAGAGAGAGAGAGAGAGAGAGAGAGAGAGAGAGAGAGAGAGAGAGAGAGAGAGAGAGAGAGAGAGAGAGAGAGAGAGAGAGAAAGTGAAAGAGGGCGAGTCCTGGCATTCTGAGAGCGGTAGGCTGTCCGGTGATTGCCCCGTCTCACCGAGTGTGCTGCGATGCTGAGCTGAGCGCTGACTTACCGAGAGTGCTGCCCCAGATGGCCGTGGCCGCGGTCTCCGTCACCAAGGGCCGGCGGCGAGTTCTCTCGGCCAGTCCGCTGAGGTGCGCGAGCAGTTGTCGCAGGGCGGGCTGCACCTCTGCCAGGTGGCGTCCGGCTCTCTCCAGTGAGCCACGCAGCTCCCGCACTATCCCTGTCCGAACAGTGATCAGTGATCATTGTCAATGTGCGGATCATGCAAAGCTATCTGTAAATAATTAGCTGAGCAATTATTGCTATGCTCTGCTGTAGGATAGGTAGGTACCAGGCACTTATAGACCATGCGTATTCGATTGGCATTTATACAACATGAGGCATAAACATTCAAATCGATTTATAACTATATTCGGAAGTCAATTGCAGGTTGTCAATGGTCCGGCGAATACCACACAAGCTATCTCTATGAAAACCCAGCAGTGACCCGCAGCTCATCCCCTGTGTCGCGGTCTGTCTCACATAGTGCGGCGGTCTCACCCCCCACGTACCCGGTCTGGCGGTGCTGATGCCGCTCTGCAGGCTGTTGGCCAGTGCTGTGACCGAGGTCTGTGCCGTCTCGGCCAGCGCTGCCACGTCCGCGGACCGGTACCGCCGCACCAGCTCCAGGCTCGGTGCCAGCGCGTCCTGCCGGCACCGGAGGACACTTAACCCGCGCCCTGGTGGGGTCTGTTTATAACGCGACCTGATGGGGGGGGGGGGCTATTTTTTGCCCCCCTCGTATCTCCGAAACTACTGGACGGATCTGCAAAATTCAAACGGCGTTCGAAAGGCCTGTCAAATTTGTCGAAGGAAACCAAATTTCATTGACCTCGGGGTCACTGATGACGTCACAGGTCAGGTCAGAGATGAAGTGTTTCACCGTTCACGGGGCTTCTAGGGAATGCGCTATAACACCGAGGAAAACGCATTTTGTCGAGAATCAGCGGTAGGGCGTCAGTTGCCTAGTAGATATGTTGCTATTAGAGGTCACTGGCAATACCAGGTCAGGTCACAGGTCAGGTCACCAAGGGTCACAGGTCAGGTCACATGAGCCCAACTTTACTAAGGTTGTGTGATACATGTTTTATGGCCAATTTTTCATTTCCAACTCAATGGTGTTGGTTATAAGACTATCAGGTACGGCTTAGGTCAGTTTCTGGTGAAGTTCAGGTCAAGGTCAGGTCAAGGTCAGGCCAAAAAGGTCAAATTTTAAAGTTGATAGTTTTGCATAAAATGGGTATTGATTCGATGCAGCTCGTCACGGGGAGTCTAATGGTGGTCTTTGTTTTGCGCTACGGGGTCTAGAATTGCTAAAAATTGAGTTTGAAAATTTGACGTCATCAATTTTGAACAGTTTTTTCGCTATAACTTCGCCAAAAAAAGAGGTATCAATCTCAAATTTGGTATGTGGATGGAAGGCGGTAAGGACTATCACATATATTCCGGTTTTTGCGAAATTCAAAAAACTTTTTGGATTTTTCGATTATTATATCCAAAAAATCTATTTTTTGATTTTTGGGGGTCAAAATCCAAAAATTTTAAAAATCCGAGATAGCAGTTTTGTAGCCCTGTTCAATCTACAGCTTTTATGTCTTTATCATTTTTCTGTATTTGCAAAGCTATAGGCCTGACAGCTCTTCCCGCGAAACCCTTTTTTGGGTCGAAAACGGCAGAACATGACGTCACTCTGACGTCATTTCCGGCCAACCTATCATAGCCTTTGGAAAATTTTTTGATCACAATGTGTAAAATTGATGTCCGGGAGGGTACTGAAAGTTTGGTGACGATCGGCGCAGCGGTTCTGGAGATATATCGAAAAGTCTGGAGGGGGGGGGGGCAAAAAATAGCCCCCCCCCCCCACCAGGGCGCGGGTTATTGGGTGTCCGCGAGCCAGTAGGAACACTTACTGGGTGTTTGGCACCGGAGGGCCACTTACTGGGTGTTTGGAACCGGAGGAATACCTACGGGCCGTCCAGGCACGGGGAACATTTACTGCGGGCGTGGGCTCCGGGGAAACTTATCTGGAATGATACCTACGCAGAGTTCCTATCATTTTTTCATGTAATCCTCAAGAGTCAAATAAACTAAATATTGATTATCAATACGCAAGCTGCACTGAGCAACGGCCTAGCTCGTCGATACACCGCCGCCGCCCGGCAGCCGGCACTCGCCAAGAATTGCCTGGAAGGTATACTGTACCGCAGCACACCGGCGGTCTGCGGCTCAGTATATCCGCCCGTCTCCAGCTGGATGTATGGAACACGACTGGAACCCGAGTGCCGCCTGAGAACACCGGAAGGTGCGTGGACGGTGGCTATTACTTTTCACGCATTGTTTAGTCCCTTTACTTCATTATCATTATCCGAATGGCACGGATCCCTGAGTCGCGACACTGTAAAACACAGCGCACTGAATGTCGCTTTCTGTCTGGCTAACTCTGTGACATTCCTATAAATAACTTTGCCGTTGTGGCTATGAGTACTGAGGCCTCTTGCACCAAACTACCTAGCTAGGTAAAATCGAAAAAACGGTTTCAGAATAAGCTAATCTAACGGTGGTAAATTTGTTTGCAATAGCCCAATACATAATCCTACATGTGCTTGCAAAATTTTGCACGCAAATTGTTACATTTGAGACTTGGACTGGTTATACGATGCAAAATAATCCAAGCATTGGTGCAAGAGGATTTTGGTGCAAGAGGCCTCTGCTCTCGCCTCTCACTGACCTCTGCGATTCTGCACGTCCTCTCTGTGACCGTGTAATCTCTCAAAGATCACTGTGATGTGCCCGCGTGAAACCCCCACTGACCGCTGTGACGTCCAGCTGGGTCAGCGCCAGTCCGTCAGACTGCAGACCCTCACACAGGTGTCGGTCGCGGTCTGTACAGAGTGACACGGCCCGCTCCAGGTCACTGCGCAGGTCACCGAGTCGGCGCACCAGGCCCGGCCAGCCGGCCGTCAGGTTGGCCAGGTCCGAGTCCAGGGCCAGGAGGCCGGCCGATACCGTCTGTAAGCCTGAGAAGCGCGGGTCGAAGGAGTCAAGGAGTCACAGTGACATATTGATCGATAGCAGATTAGTTACTGCAGGAACATCTGAGTTAGGACATGTTTGGTCTTTCAATGGTCTGAATAAACCATTACTTATCAATGCAAGGACATAAGTTGGCGAAGAAAATGTTAAAAGTTTCCTATGCAGCTAGTGAACATACGGTAAGCAAAGGTCGACATACTCGTAAGTACATATGCACATACATGCATCCGTTTGATGAGAAATATGATAAATGTTACGTTTTCATTGATGATAGGCCAGAGCACCGGGATGCCGTGCCCGTGTCACTATTCCAGCTGCATACACACCAGTAGGTAGCGAGTGATCATTATCTTATATCAGCATGATCCTGCGCTATCTCTTAGGTCTCGAGAGCCATAGAGCCGCCTGAGAGTGTGTCCCACTCACTCGAGTCGAGCTGGAACAGCGACTTGAACACCTGCGTCATGCGTGACTGGTTGGCCAGCCGCATGGTGATCTGCTCCGTGCTACGGTGGGCCGCGCCTGGGCAGAAGGGAATCGGTGTGAACAAGACAGCGGGGTGGCCTGGAGACGGGTGTGTGATAGGTGAAGGTATAATAAATAAATCAGCTCTGATTGGCTTGATGGAAATACCAAATAATGTCTTTTGATAATATTGCTTCCATTTGATCAATGGTATACTTTATCGACGAACTTCCATAAAGCAACAGTTTAAACCGAGAGGCTCAAAGCCCTGGATACGTTTGATGGTAGATACCGCGAAATGACAACGTCGGCAACATTTGAAGCGGGTGTCAGAACACATAGAATGTCCCCGAGAGACATCAATATGGCTTGCAAAAGAAATGAAACAGCGAGCACCGTGGAAACAAGCACTTGGATACACATTGCACTTGAAATCCAATAGAAATGAAATAAAATCAATGTCTGCATCTGACTGGTATCATTTTTAATAAGTTCTAGGACATCAATGATATTGTTGCGAACTAAGTTAAACTAACTACTGAAGTAATCAAAGCGTTGTAAACCAAAGGCACCAAGCAGCGTCTGCTCCAATTAGTTTCCATTCGCTACCGTGATGATTTGTCTATTCATTTTTCGACATTTCATGCACTGTGACTGCAACTTAAACCTATTGCATATTCATTTTTCTAATCAAAATGTTAGGTGAGTACTCACGATTTTACATCATTTCCATCCGTTTATCCTCACCCTCCATGAGTCTCTCCGTGTCGCGGACGGCCGTCTCCATATCCGAGCCGAGGAGGTGGGTGAGGCGGGCGGCCACGTCACTGGTCACAGTGTGTACCTCGGTCAGGGCGGCGCCGACCGCGGGGCCCGAGCGGTTCAGTCCGGAGCGGATCAGAACAGCGGCCGCGACCAGCAGAACCGCCACGCAGCTGTGCCGACAGGGGAACAGGGGGCGTGAGTGAACGAGGGTGGGTAAATGAGCAGGGGGCGTGAGTGAACGAAGGGGCGGTAATTGGTCTGGAGAGTGCCAGTGCAGTGGTCGATAGGTCATCTGTGGTCAGGTGGGTGTCGGCCCGTCGAGGCCTGGAGGGTGCCAAGCACCAGTGAATCACATATGGCAAGGAAAGCACCGGACAGAAGGAGAACGAACGCGGCCAAGAGTATCGGGCCCCTTAGGTTGAGCCCCATTCTACACCAATAACCAAACTAAGGCTCCTACTCAATTGTAATGCACGGCTCCGTTACTAAAGGTGGCCAATGATGCCCCAGTAGGCAGTAAGCTCGCCTCTGTGTTCACTGCAACTAATAGGTAGGTAACTACAATGGTATTGCGGCACTTGTTAGGCTTGGCACAGCGTGCACTCGTTTAGGACTTACAATATGACGCAGAGTGTGATGACGAGCAGTGCCACGTTGCAGTTGGCTCGGCACCGCCTGTACGCGGCTCGGTCACGCTCCTGACAGGTCTCCTGGTGCGTCTCCTGATGTCTGTGACGGCAGGAGCGGCTGCAGCAGATGACAGTCGCTGCCAGCGGCACCAGGACCGACAGACAGAGGCAACTGAAGACCACGGCCGCCAGGGCAGGGTCTGCCGAGAACAGCTGTAACGACAGAGAAAACCCCAGCTGAAGACCATAGCTGCCAGGGCAGGGTCTGCCGAGAACAGCTGTAAGACAGAGAAAACCCCAGCTGAGAACCATAGCTGCCAGAGCAGGGTCCGCCGAGAACAGCTGAAACGACAGAGAAAACCCCAGCTGGGAACCACAGCTGCCAGAGCAGGGTCTGCCGAGAACAGCTGCAAAGACAGAGAAAACCCCAGCTGAAAACCATAGCCGCCAGAGCAGGGTCTGCCGAGAGCAGCTGAAAGACAGAGAAAACTCCAGCTGAGAACCATAGCTGCCAGAGCAGTCTGCCGAGAACAGCTGTAAGACAGAGAAAACCCCGCTCTGAGAACCATAGCTGCCAGGGCAGGGTCTGCCGAGAACAGCTGTAAGACAGAGAATACCCCGCTCTGAGAACCATAGCTGCCAGAGCAGGGTCGGCCGAGAACAGCTGTAACGACAGAGACAGCTGAGAGCCGTGGCGTCCAGTAGATATTTCAATAGAAAAACACATTCTAACGAATATTCGTAGTATTTTTCTGATTTCAAACAACCTGCGGTTACAGGGTAGCTACAGGGTCAGAGCTGATACCAGCTCTGAGATTTGAGAGAGACAGAGAGGGGGACCACTGCGGCTAGAGCGAGGACCACTGAGACCATAAAGAGGGTCAGGCAGAGACCACAGTCGACATAGCTCACAAGCTTCGAATGGACGGACTGACGAAGCCAGAGCTCACAATAAATTTGCAGCACGCTGCACAAGTGCACAGGCCCTAGCCCCTCTGTCCGATTGAGAAATTTCGGGCTTGTCGGGAGAGAATATGGAAGCCTAAGTTAAGCTCGCAATCAAATTCTGATACGGAAGACTCACTGACTTAGTGGCTGCGGCTTTTCTTACCAACCACAGACCGGGACCGTCAGAAATCTAAGGTAGGTATATCAAGCTCTGTAGCGACTGGAACCGACTGGAAGCGACAGTGCTTTTTTCACCGGGCGTCTGACGACCTTATATATTAAACCAATCATCTGCAGCTCTGTCGACGGGTCGCATTCAGTGGCCTCAGGTGCGCTTGTGTGGCCGCACTGATTGCCTGTCGGCGCACTGGTGCAGGCGCTCGAGACATGAAAAATGCTCACACACACAGTCGCCGTGCCGCAGTAATCTGTTTCTGACGGTTTTTGTCGGCGGCGGCGCGGCGGCCCAATCGCGCCGGCGGCGTCGAGAGTCGCGCGCTCGTCAATAGACCTCGTCTCCCCGGAGACAGCCCGGTGGCCGCTGCTCGTGTCGGAGTCCGCCTCCCCGTGACCAGCGCCGCTGCCACGGAGAGCCGCACCATGGCGGATAGCTTATCGGGCTCCAACGGGGCCGTCACTGCAGTAATAGCCTTCTCCCTGCACAGAATGCATTATCTGCAAAATCTGCTTACATCGCTCATTGATACTAGCAGACCATTTGCAATTTCCGTCGCTCATTGATACTACCAGACCATTTGGAATTTCTGAAAATTGTCAAAAATAGTCTGAATAGAAACTGATCAAGCTATCTAAAATAGGCGTTGAGATTAGACCTAAGTCTCGGAAATTTTGATTGAGATTTTGCCGCACGGTAAATTACGTGCGTATTAGAGCGTTAAATGGACCTAACTGTGTATTCTCTGGTTCTAATCCATATCAAACGCTGAACTCAGTTGAACGTAGTGAATAAAAACTTCCAAAGAGGGAAGCGGAAAACGATCAGCAGTGAAAAACTCACCGTATAATCCATTGCTAATATTTTGATGTTATGTCAACGAATGAAACATGTGAGGCTGCATGGGCACTGATTTTATGTCACATGGGTACTCAGTGGACATCATGGTGGGTAGTTATTAGTTAACTTGGCCATCACTGATATCAAGAGTTACGCTGGATATGCACTGACTGTAGATGGTTGTAGACTGTGGACGCTGACTGTAGATGGTTGTAGACTGTGGACGCTGACTGTAGATGTTTAGAGTAGCTGATAATAACAAATATCACTTCGAAGATCTGCATCAGCTTCCTATAGAGCTAGATGCACTCTCGAAATCTGTCCTGTTAAGCGGGCTATCGAAACTTCGTTAATTTTGCAGTTAGCGCATCCCCAATCCCGCACCATGGCTCTCCAGTTAGACGTACCCCACAACATACACTCTCGATCGTCTAATAGTTTTACAGCCAAACCGACATAAAACCCTCGCAGCCTGACAGCCGCGAATAACGTGCTGATGCTCAAAGCTGCCTGTATTAACTTCTAGCCTTGACCCACGAGCCGCTGGGGGCATAAAGTTGCCCCCCCCCCCCTTTACGTTTTGTGAAATATCTCCGAACTCCTGATGAGCTACGAACGTGAAACTTGGCAATTGGCATAGCTTCAAATGAATACCTAGGCAATGTTTGAGGAAAGTTTGGTGGTTGTAGCACCTAAGATGACGTCACAGTGACGTCGTAAAGTTTTGCCGTTTTCCGATATGGACCGTTTCTGATGGCGCTGAGCTTGAAACTCAACTGTAAATGAACTAGACAGCACCTGCTGTCATCCTAAAACATCTAACTACACTTCCATCTAGTTTCTGACCAATAATCGACCCTTTTATATTCGGTCCCATATGTCTGATGTATCGTGAGGAATATGAGAGTCGCAAATCTATAATTTCACTTATGACGTCATTGTGACGTCATTTCAAATGGAATCGACACCAAGTTTTGACACAACCTCGGCTAGGTACTCAGGAAGATGTGTGCAAAGTTTCGCTTCTCTATCTCTTCGCGTTGCGACGATATCGTCGCAGAAGTAAAGGGGGGGGGGGCAACTATATGCCCCCCCCAGCGGCCGGCGGATGGCGCGGAGGCCCAGCGGCCGCCGGGTTAAAGGGACCCTCCCACCTTCAAAAAAGATAATGAATTGGCTGTCTGGCATGAAAGTGATGTCGCTCGGTTCAGAAAGAGCGAAAACGAATAGCTACCGAATTTCATCGAAAAATATTCACCGGTTTTCAAGATACACTGTAAACTCATTTCAACAAACGTTTGTTACTTTTACAAGGAAAATTATTTAGCGCAAATCCCCGCACCCTTTGCCATGTCATCGAACGACCCTATTGTTTGTCATGGTAGTTTTTCTTACAACCCACTCACATGTAGTTCGTTAGATTAGCTACCAAAGTTTGCTTTGTCATTGTTGTGTGAACGACTGTTTTCCTAGTTATAATCATGCGGCTACCAGGTAAAGACCTGCGCATGTTTGCATTTAACAGGGCTGAGCCGTGTACTTGTTAAGTCAAATCAATGCAAATCTTAGTTAGCATAGTAATGTCTATGTGCAGCAAACCTGTACTTGTAAGCAATCTATCTAGTCTCAGGTTTGTAACGTTTTACAAAGACCTCCCTTGTATTCGTCAGTTTTCTCCACAAATCGCAGGTCGCCGCTCTGCAGTCTCATTATTACAGCAAAACAGCATTACTGAAAGTAGGTCATGTATTTAAAATGGTACATACACATTACACACACAATGGTGATAACACTCATGACCCAAGGGGCAAGGGCAATAACGCATGCGAAAAAGCAATGAGCGTCATCACTTACCGAGTACACTGTACCCATTCAAATCTAAGGGGCATTCAAAATCATTAGTCCCTTGGAATTCAGGTGCTTTTTCATTTTTATAATTCTTGAGTTTCTGCAGTTTGCTGTCTTCAGTGTAGCGACCCTTGCTTGCAAGCTGGAGCTTTCGCTCCTGATGAAAGCCTGAAAGAAAGCATCGCTATATTATAGCATATGCAGAACAATATGGCCTGGAGCAGAACACATTGTGCTTGCTTCCATACATCACGCACTTATTTAGCAAATTTCTCTGATTCAATCTGCATTACTATCAGTTGAAAGACATACATTTCATTAAAAAATGACAAAAACGACCGAACACTGTTATCACCTACCATTTTCACGGAAGTGCGCAGGAGGCCACAGGCCCACATCACTGCACGGCGGTTGGCGCGCAACTGAAACTTTCAAAATGAAACGGCCGGAAACGTTTTTGGCGCCACCTATATAACAAGTAACAGCTTTGTATATGTTACTACTAACACGTCTAACTAGCGTAACTAAGTCCGTGTTGCAAAGGTGTAGCTGATACCTTTGACAAGGACATAGATTACATAAGTATGTATCAGTATTGTTGCAATGGTGTAGCTGGTTCTTTCGACAAGGATATAAATTACAAATCATAAGCAAATCTATGTTCCATATTACGAATAAGACCCTGGTAGTTTTCACAATAGCCTCCATAATCCTCGTCAATTTTATGAATGGTCGACTGGGTGCTGGGGCTGATACTAATATTTGCCCTGTTGATTCAACCAACTATGACAAGATATTCGTCGTTCGACATAACCTTTATTAGTATTTTTGACAAACGCTCGTCGTTGTACGACAACCCCTTGTCAAAATGAGTTTACAGTGTATTAGACTTTTACTCTTGTTTACTTTTGGGATATCCGCTGTTCCTAGTGACTTTATTTGAAAGTGCGGCACTTGTTGCGCGCAAAGTGACATATACCACCGCGTGCTATCAAACGTTTTAGTAAAAGATTTAAAATCGCTAGATCTGCGCTGACGTCACAAATTCTAAGGGGGCATTACAATGCATTAGCCCCTTGGAATCCGAAAACTGAAAGTTTGAAATTCCATATCTCCGAATTAAAGCATTTTTCGATGTTGTGAGTGCCCAAATCGGTATTTTTAGGCCATGGCCACCAATTAGGCTACCTCAACTTAAAATTAATGTTAAGGTGGGATGGTCACTTTAATCACTTTAAGCTGCTTATAAGCAGGAGAGAGAAAATAAACAAGATTGAAAGGAGCCGTGCCATATGTATAAGCTGAGAATAGCAGTGGCGCAGGCTTTGATGACCTTTTCCGCATAAAATCATATGCTTTTAAAAGAGCTTTGCAAAGTGCAACTATTTCAGTTTTAATTTCCCTGCTAGAGGTGAACTTGTTCCATTCTTCTATAAGCGCATTCTGATTCGGACTGCTACCGTAGCGGTATGAGGGTCAGCGATACGCAGCAGGTCGGTGCTGAAGACAGCCCCCGGGGGCACGGTCAGTCCCATTCGACCCACAGATCGCCTTTCAGACGCCCACGCGTCAACCTGGCTGGCGAAGCGACACAGCTCTGTCAGTGAATAGCTGAACCACTGAATGGCGTGTGATGAAGAAAAACCCGATTCAGGTCACCACAAACATTCGCAAAACACCTTCATAGCTGGTGGAGAATGCGTCGAGCCTCCGAGAAACGGGTGATTTTTGGTGAAACATTACCTTATATCTGTATTTACTGAAAAAACATATATTGTATTGTTTTGTATACAATATATGTTTTACATCTTTTACATCTATTAATACATCTTTTGGCAGCGCATTTATATTTGTGTGAACACTGACCACTGGCGCTGTTGAATTATGTGAGATCTCATAATCAACTGAAGTAACCTTACACTCGTAATCAAACAAAATTCCGAAGAAAATGTTCGGATTCCTAAGATTTTTTTGTTTGCTATGAAAGTAAGGCTACTTTACTTGATTATATGCTTATGCGTGACTCTGAAAGCAGTGCTAACAACAATGCAGGCTATGTGAAATATTGGCGACTATGACGGTCTCCACCAGTCACGGGCCGGTATGATAACCAACCCAGTCGACCGACGGCTCCACCATCCCCCCCCCCCCCACTCACATACCTACCCTCCGTCCCGTTGCACGGGACGGTCTCTGCCGCTGAGGTGTACTCGGTGGTTCGCACAGCTCAATGTCTCCGCCGTGTCCTTTCGTCACCTAGCCCATAGCCTTTGTCAGGCCAGAATAGCATGCTCTTATAAACAGCAAGCGAAAAATAAGCTACTGGTGCAGAGACTGGGTGCCGGGTACCAGTCTGTCTGTCTCTTACCCAGGGCTGAGCACTCACCTGTTTCACCAGACGCCACCAGTAGTTGTCAGGTAGTGCTGAGCGCTCACCTGTTTCACCAGACGCCACCAGTAGTTGTCAGGTAGTGCTGAGCGCTCACCTGTTTCACCAGACGCCACCAGTAGTTGTCAGGTAGTGCTGAGCACTCACCTGTTTCACCAGACGCCACCAGTAGTTGTCAGGTAGTTCTGAGCACTCACCTGTTTCACCAGACGCCACCAGTAGTTGACCTCTACCCTCGCCTCTCCGTTCACCAGCTGCTCCACTGTGCTCTGCAAACCTGCAAAACAAGAGCAAACAGCCGTGTCCGGGCTTAGGATGACTTCCCGGTGCCCATTAATTGACAGGTGGATGGACAGGGTCCACTCGGCCGTTTGCTACCGCGCTTTGTCGTGTTGTGCCGTCCCACATCGTATTGTGGCGTCATTCGCTGTCTCGTGGATTCCTGTGCAGTCTCGTACCTTATATTGCTTCCAGATCACTGTCTTATGTTGTTTCTTTCCAAACCGCGCTGTCTCGAGCTATCCCGTACCGTACCGACCCGTGTTATCTCGTGCTGTCCTGTGCCGTCTACTGGCTCGTTGACGACTTCAGTGATGATCTCATTCAACTATAGAATCAGCTTATTTGTATAGTCGATTACAGAATGATGTTCCACTTTTCACGGGCAATTATTTGCCTGGAGTGGTAGGCTGTGCCGTATCACACGGGCTGAGTTCACAAATTATAGCTTTGTCCCAATGCTCACAATCGACACGCTTAATTGCGTGATAAACGGCACAACTTAGCGCTCCGGTCAACTGATAGCTTCTGAGGAGTGGAACATCATTCTGTAGTCGACTATACTACAGTCGTCACAGTCATAACTGATATGTTTAGCGACTTCTAGACAGTCTTTGTTTGAATACAAACGTCGCTGCCTGATCTCGGATACACACTATCCAAGTTCACGGATACCTAATCGTTTTTGTGAGTTTCGTAGTCTTTTATTGTAGTTGACTGATTTGAAGTAAGTGCTCTACCGATTAGGCCATGTCGATCAGGTTTTCCTGGTGAAATGAGTTCTGGTTCCGATGACTTATTTATATAGCCCAGATAATGTTAAAAGTTTCCGCATCGCACACGAAAAAGAAGTAAGTTTAAGTGCACTTTGGACTAGTGAACGAGAAAACTTCTTATTGACCTACAAGTCTAATGTATTGCTAACATCATGTTTATGGAACGGCGCTAACATCTTCTTCATCCTTTTCCCCAATTGGCTAGTAGGCAATACTGCGCTGCTAAATTAGGCACGATTATCCACACCAGGGCAGCCCCGAGTCGGGGGGGCGGGGGGGGGAGTGTTTATCGTCCCTAGTCTAATTCCGTACATGAATAAGATATGGAAACAAAATCGATATCAAACAAAAGCCCCATCAAGCCAATTTCCATTTACCTAAAAATTAATTAACTCAGGTCAATAATGGACAAGGTCAGAGGTCAAAGTCCGAAGAAAAAATCTCAAATAAGGCGTACCTATTCCTTAATAATTGATTTCCATTTTGGCTGCAGTAATCCTTTACAATAAATCGCCATCAGGCATTAGGTATTAACCTTCCATTTTTAATCGACCATTAAACCCGCTCTTCGCAGCATAATTTCTGCAGCATCAGTATTATCCGCACTGATCATTTTACACTTGTGTGGTACCCTTGATGTCGTACATACCCTCGGGATACTGCTGTGGCTGCATGTGCCGTAGCAGAACGGTCACGTGACCGAGCAGGTCAGCCGCCTCCGCCCGGAAGTGCTGACTTCCGGTCAGGGGCGCCGGCGCGTCCGTCACAGCCGGTTGGACCGACCCCGCGCCTGTCTCGCCGGTTAGTGTCAGCGCTGTGCCTGCTGTCCCCGGAGTGGCCGCCATGAAACACAGCACCACCACCAGCCGGGTCACGGGGGTCAGGCGACGGGTCACACGGATCGCCCGGGGCACCATGTCGGCCGGCTCGGCGGTATCTCGGTGATGGATGCAGGGGGTCGGGCAGCGGCAGCTCAGAGGAGGTGCTGTACTGTAACAGTACAGTGACGTGACGGCGACGGAGGCAGTGACGGAGGCAGTGACGCAGTGACGGAGTCAGTGACGGACGCAGTGACGGAGTCAGTGACTGATGCAGTGACGGAGGAAGTGACGGAGGCAGTGACGGAGGCAGTGACTGAGACAGTGACGGAGGAAGTGACGGAGACAGTGACGGAGGCAGTGACGGAGACAGTGACGGAGGAAGTGACGGAGACAGTGACGGAGACAATGACGGAGGCAGTGACGGAGGCTCCAACCAGTCTCGTCGGCTGGCGTGCCGGTGAAACTGAAAGCTAGACGAGTTGGTCCGGTAGCAGCCCACCTCGCTCTCCCTATGGCTTCCTGATCCAATTAGTGTGTCGGCGAAATCCTACAGGGGCTACTGTACGGTAAAGCTAACCGGTGCACGTGACTAAAATAGAATCGAACGGAAACTTGATAGAAGTTGCGTGAAACTACTGAGTACTGAATCAGTGAATGTTACCTTGATTTTCGTGGTATTGATTGTATTGTATTATATTGTATTGTATTTATACTGGAAACTCTCCACAGGTGGCTATTACGAGCCCAGTTAACATGGCGATGCATTGACAGCACAACCTACCTTTGCAGGCGCGCACACAGGATTTTTGAATGGGGGGGGGGGGGCACGACCTTCGAACTGGGCCCCCCATGCCGAAGGGCCCCCCCCCAAAAAAAATACGGCCCATGGGGCTATATTTCGGTTGGTTTGTCAATGCACGGTAGGTAAAACAATTATTTCGGTACCAGCTTAATTTTCAAAACATATATATTTTTACGCTAGCATGTTTTTTTAGCATGTTTTTTTTTCGCGGACCCCGGGCCCGCGAGTCACCCGGTGGCCTGGGGTCAGCTCAGGCAAGGATGTATCCAGGACCTTTCGATGGGAGGAGGAAGGCACGGTGGGTCCAGTCTCACTGGCAGACGGGTCTC